GTCTTTCTGACAAACATATCTTGGGTATAAAAAAGGGGCAGATATTATAAGATTTATTCTTCTTCTGCTGCCTTTCATTTGATTTTATTTTGATTGCATGTTTTTGTACTTTGTTAATCTGTGTTACAAGTGAAATGAATAAATAACTACTACTACTTGTGCTTGTTTCATTGCAAACAAATCCTAGAACAGTTAACAAAGTCTCATGTTTTGTTGCTACAAATAAAACAGAGGAGACGACACTAGTTGTACTGTTATTACACACTGAATCCCACAATTGCATTAAACTGAGTTGCTGACTAACAAGTACACAAATCTGTTCACGAAATCCTTATCAAATTCTACCTACATAGTCAGCTTACCTTGAGCTGGTTAGCGTAGTGTCCCAGTTTGATTTTAAGCAGGAAGCCATCTTCTCCCACCTGATGCTCAGCCTTGTTTTGCAACTCTTTGATCAAACTGTCCAGCAGGCATTTAGCCTTGAACTCCTCCTGAGGGTTCTCCAGGTCTATGGCATCCCTGCCAGCAGGAACACGGGAAATTAAAATGAATAAAAAGCACACTAGGGAAGAGCAACCTCATGGGTGTTAAAGCCAAAGGAGCAGCAAAGAAACTCACCAGAGCTGGCTCTCTATCCACTGGGAGAGGTAATGTCGCACCTCGATGGGGAAGTGTTGACCGTAAAGCGACTGCATCTGATGCAGAGCATCTCCCTGAAGCTGCTGGGCCTGAATCCACACTGCCATCTTCAACACCCTGAAGCTGGCGAAAAGAGACACTCAGTCAAGACCTCAGATTAAACAGAAGCTGAACTAAAGGTACGTTAAGTGATTTAAAACAAAATCATCTTTGATTAATGAGGCATTAAGACATTTTCAGTTGGCCGTCTGACAAAGTCCTCCTCAAACCAGCAGAACTGGTTGTTAGAGTTTGTTTTGCTTTACAAGCTGAAGCATTGGGCAGTAAAAACAATACGGGTTTTCAAATAAAACAAACGTATGGAAAAGCTTGAAAATATGTTCGTGTAAATTCACAGGCAGAAATCACCAAAAAGCTTTAACGGCTTGTTTTATCATGTTTTAAAAACTGGTCCAACTTTTTTTGGGGGTGCGTTTCTCTTCATTACAGTAACAGCTTTACATTCACCTGAACAAATACACCCCGCAGCACAGTTATTGTCCCTGTCAGTGTCTGATACCAAAATATCCCATGATTCACTGGACAATAAATAAATAAATAAATAAAACACTCAAAAAGTAGTTTTTGGATTTACTGGATTGGATAATGATTATTTTTTGGAGTCAACCTGAATTAAGATGGCTGTTCAGACAACTTTAAAGATACAGAGCTAAAATTTGATTTGGAAGTTGCTGATAATCATCTGCAGCGTGACATCATATATATATATA